CGATCCCTCGTTTAGAAGAGGTCCTGGAGGCTTCCGTTCACGAGAGGGCTACACGAATGTAACGCCAAAACCCCCCAAGCGCAAAATGTATATTCCGAATTCTATGTGGACGTGGTCCTTTGTCATCGTCACTTTCATCCAGACGGTCATAACTCTCGCGCTAGAATGGTATGCGGACTTGAATATCCATAGACCTCCACTACGCCGTTAATGCTAACGCATGGTTGTTCAGTTACATTTTCGCCAACTACCAGAGCCAGCTTAAAGAGAAAGCCGAGGTTGTCACCGCTTCAAAAACGATCCCTATCTTCTTAGCGCTCTACAGCTTTGGATTCCTATATGAGCTGGTGCTTGTATACGATGCCCTGCGGATGAAAAATACGATTCAGGTCATTGGTTTATGTCTTTGCAACATTGGACTCTTGATCTACGGGGCAGTGCAGGTTCAGCAGGTGAAGGAGGCTGTCTCCATTCTGACCGACAATACGGCTATCAATATGGACGTATGGGGAGAAACTGAGCCTTTTTTGATCATCATTCCATGCGTCGTGGCGATGGGGACGGTTCTTATGGTGATGGTTGCATGGAAACTTTACGATGAATTTGCATGGTCGATCTACAAGCATATCAGTGCTGATCTGCGAATGAAGCGTCGCTATCTCACATATCAGGTTTGTGGCTCCTACTCACAGAATGAAGATCAAGAAACATGAGGATTTACCAATGGCCAGATCTATGTCGCACTTCTCAAATTTGATTTTTTCTTCTTCCTCGGGTTCACGGTGCAGTTCGTCGTTATCGTCACCGATAAAGCCGACATTGAATTCTCTCTGACCCTAGCCGCTATACCTGTGACGATTTTGATTCTAGTTTGCGCGGCGATATTTGTTCGACGTGAGAGCTCAATCGGAATGATCATCATCATCGTATGTTTCCTGCTTCCGCAACCTGTATTGCTGTTGCTGACCATAAGTCTAGCTTCTTTACTTTGCAGCTATGGCCTATTTCCTATTCAAGCTTGTGCGCATGTACCAACCGGAGACTTACAAGGACTACCTGCCTGCCCGGCGGTCACTCACGTTCTTTGCTGTCATCACGATTGCTCTCATCATCATGACTATCATCAACGCTTGCATGTGCATGCACAATTTCCACAAGGGTCTGAAGCCCCATATCAACAAAAGAAAGTCGAGCAAGGAGGCGGAGAAGACCACCGAGCTGTCCTCGAATGTGGCTGGCGCGATACCCAGTCGAATGATGATTGATTAACCGAGCGTTGCTGTCTTGCTCCTCATGAACAAATTCAATTGAATTGAAAAAGAAACGGAGGACTAAAAAGAAACGAACATGCAAATACGCAGCTTTTCGCTTCTTCATTCCGTATATTAGAGAGGGAAACCGCGAGTGCGCGGTGGTACTCGATCAATACCTCGCTTGCGGGCTGCTGGGTACTGACAATGGGGCATGTTTTTGGAATCTTCGATATGATACCTCACCTGCGTTTATTAGGCTGCCTGACGACTATTTTCGACCCTCCTGAAGTTTGGTTGAGCGATTTTCATTCAGTCGTATTCGGTCACTCCCCGTTTCTTCCTTTACTGTACTTCCTATTCCTTGATGGCACAATGGCGTTCATTTGATGACTGTTTCTATTCCCCTTCAGGTTCTGGTATATCACGAATATGCATCTACTCTGGCGTGTATTGTAACTATTTAAACTCAAACATAACATATTTGTCATATCTCAATATTTTGAAGTGTTAAACAGAATGAATCCTAGCTGGCTTTGGTAGATTCTCGGCTCTGGCTCACCATGACTAAAAATGATCAGAGCGCTACTACAGATTGGCTTTATTCGAAGGGCATGCGATGGCATGCGACAGCTCTTCTTAAAACAGTCCAAACCACCCATTGCTACTGAAATCTATAGAGTACCTAGCCAGCCTCATTCATTGATGCTGAATTGTTGATTGCCGCAGTTCAGGGGTCAGAAAGCGGAGGGCGAATATGATTGGGTTACATGAAGCTGGGGTAAGTCTAAGGTAAGTCATGTAACCATACGTTACCATACCCGACTGGCTGGAAATCGTGATCGTGGCCTCTTTCTGGCAACTCGCGACCTCACCTCTCATAGCTAATTCATCCCCCAATCCGATTTTCTTCTCTCACCTGTCACCACAATCTTTTACTTCTTCTATTAGGTCCTTGTTTTATTTGCAATTCAACTTTTTCGGTCGCGTTCATTGATTTCCCTCTCCCCTTTTCTCATTCAATTGCTCAAGATGGTGAGTACCTCTTTCGATCGTCGTCCCTTGAGAAGGAGCGCTATATGCTCTGCGGGCGGCAGGTCCAATTGCTCATTTCAGACCGAGCCTATACATTGAATCGAAGGTTGACCATAGTTATGCATCTGTTCCAGGCCTCTGCTCGTGCTGCTTCTCCCTTGACCTCTGGTGCTGAGTCCGGCCCTGACACCAAGTCTTCTGGCGCCGGTGCTGGGGCTTCCGCCACTGGCTCCGTGAACCGTCCTTCTTCTCCTACTCCTCCCGGTGGTCCCAGAGCTGCTTTGCGTCGCCGCGCGGCCGCAGACCACAAGGAATCTCTCCGCAATGCTAGGCCCAGCTCTACCCGTGCTGCTGGTGCGGGTGGTTCCTCCGGCACTATGCTCAAGCTCTACACCGATGAGAGCCCTGGTCTGAGGGTCGACCCTGTTGTTGTTCTGGTGCTCAGCTTGGGTTTCATTTTCTCCGTTGTCGGTCTTCACGGTATGTGTGGTGTGCGCTCCGAAAGCTTGGTCAATGCTCTAATACTTGTTTCTGTTGTAGTCATCGCCAAGATCACCCGCAAGTTCTCCTCGTGAGCTGCTGAATGCGTCATTTGGTCTAGTCCTCGCGATCATGGTTTCTTTGGTCAATTTCGTACATGAATGGAGTCGCCGGATGAGACGGTGGTTAATATGCACCGTTCGTTCTCGACCTGTCAGTCATTAAGAACATTGAGAACTTGCAAGCGAGGATGATAGGCGGGTCGTATATTCAGTTCCTTCGATGTTTTCCCTTCAATCATATACCCCTTGGTGTCACTTTTCCCTGTACCGGTGCATATCGAAGATTCGAGAGCGGCATGATCTGAAAACAGCATGCCTCCTCGCACAAGCCAGTTGAGAGTGCTTGAGTTCAAACCTATCTGCAGTATAGGTTAATGCCACTATGATATTGCCGTTGGAATCACAATGACCTCATAAGCTTTTGATGGGGCTCAGAGAAAATGAATGGAGACATTTGTACATTAATTTATGCTTTTTAGCTGGTGGTGCTTGCATTCAGTCACTTGTCACAGTCCTGCTGCTCTCTAACTTTGCAATCTTACAATTGTGGTAAACTAGTCGACAAGTAGCGCCACATTGGTGTAGCATACAACAGACCTGGGACAGCTTCCATATAGCCACCAGGCTTTCGCCGCCTATGTACCCCGGTCCCTATTGAATAAAGATAAAAAAGAGTCTGAAACTGCAAAAGCTCCTCATTCCTCAAAAAATGCATACATAGCATTCAAACAGCTTGTTAAACTGAATGAGCTAGTAAAATAGCTAAAAAAAGAATCGTGCACTCCGATACGGGGAGTCGAACCCCGAGCTGCCGTGTGAAAGACGGCGATGTTAGCCGTTACACCATATCGGATGATGTTGACATTTTTGCCTAGTTTTAGCTTTATCAAGACTCCAAGTCTCCTGAGGGTCTTGGTGACCGCTCTCTGTATGCTTCTTTCGGCTGATATCAGGATGAATCTATCAACATGAGAAAAGCCAAAAATATACGCAGCCAATGGATCATACACACTTCACATCGACGGTTTCCCTCGCTTGCTCGAACGTCTAGGTAAGCCTTCCACCTTCGACCCTGAACCGATTAGTAATCCAAGTCTGTCTACCCCACCAGGCAGGCGGTGAGTCACTAAATCCCACCACCATAAAACCACAACAATAAATTTCCCTCTTCTCTTCCCTCTCTTCTTTTCCCCCTCAAGCGTCACCCCAACCAATGCTGCGTTTCTTTGCTACACACGACGAGGGCGCAAGCCCCGTCCCCTCGCGTGATCCCAGCCATCACCGAGGGAACCCGCAAATGAGAAATTCGGAGGAATCTTCACCAAACCCAGTAACCCGCCCTCTCTGGGCCTCGCGGTCCAGGGGGGCCGGTACTGCCCGTGAGGGCCTGGTGTGAAGCACCTGCAATCGGCATCAGAAACATCGGGGCCGGATCCTTGGATTCGGGTTTCCCCATGGGAGAGTCGTTGCGAAGATTGTGTGTTATGACACTTTAGTGCAATACGCAGCATGCGCCTGTCCTTGCCAGTCAGCAATGGTTGGTTTGGAGGGTCGTATCATTCGATTCCGATTATTCTGGTTGGGGTGGCGCTTCATCTTCTTTTTCTTTCAGGTCAGTTTGTACTTACTCTTCTCTTCCCTGCTTGTGTGGTTTTGTGGGTTTGGAACTGGAAAGGACTTGTTTTGCCCCTGCTAATGAGTTGGGGGTTGGCCCTTTGGGCTTGGTAGGGTTGCCGTCATGCGAGGGATGGTAATGTGGATGCTGTTGGTATCCTTTGGGCTTGTGCTGGTGGCATTTGATGAGAATCTGATGTGGTGATGTACTGTGTGGTCTACTGCGGAATGAGAATGGATCCTATTCACTCCAAATCGTACACGACTCCGTAGCCTCTAAATTAAAAGTAATCGTACTCAGAAAGTAGCCTTGTGGCTAAGATGACCATAGTAGCTGGACCTCTCAAGACATTTGTCAGTCCTTAATACGTACTTCAACTCTAGACCGCCGGCCCTCGAGGTGAATTATCGAATGTGATTCCCGTAGTTGTCCTATCGGGCTAATGTTCATAGGATATTTTGAATACCAGGAAAATAGAAATGTTCGTTGCCACCGTTACGCTCCTTCTTCATGTCATAGTAACACCCCCTTCGCCTTTCCCTCATGCGCATGAACCTCTTACTCCTCGTCTCCGATCTATTCGGGTGAGAGTTAGCATCGAGGAAACCCAACCGACTGTTGAGGAAGATCATACCTTAGGAGCAAGATAGAATCTCAGGTGGCCGCTTCCCAGCCCGTACTCAACAAGTAGAGGCACCTCCTGGGATAGGCAGAGAGTAACCTGGCTCGACAGCGATGTAGCCTTGCAGAAGTTGACGAGGTACTTAAGGGAAAAGGTGAGAGCAACAGGCTCGCTAAGGGCAATGGAAACGTTCTGCTCGGGCTTGTCGACGCTGGTGTGTTGACGGATGGTAACCGAGCCACTGCCGATGTCGCCCTGGCACGAGAACTTGACACCTTCCTTGGTAGCCTCAATGACAACTACCACGGGTCAGCAAGAAAATTGCCAATGACAGAATCCCATAACTCACCAGATTCAGAAAGCGCGTTCAAATCTCTGCAGATCCGCTGGAATTCCGCCGACGGCATCTCCACTGTAGCGGCATACTCTGTCTCAGGGATGGCAAGGTGCTCTTGGTCAATGTCCATCAACTTGATGTCATACTCGCTTATTCGGTCGGTCTCGGCGCTCTCAAACATGAGGTTCACGGCATCAGGCGAGTCATCCGCCTTGAGTGTGAGGATGTCTTCGTTTTGAGCGGCACGCAGGACCTTGGTTAAGGAAACTAGATTGATACCAAGGGCAATGTTGCGGTCGCAGCGGTAGGGCGAGAAACCCTCAGCTTTAAGAAGCATGGAAACCAGAGCGACGTGAGAGTTGTCCATGGCCTGAAGGGCAATTCCCGAGTCATTGCAGTCAAAGTTGCAGTCCTGTACGAGATCTTTGATAGCGTCGACGACCTGCATAGAGCATGAATCAGGTCAGTCATGAAGCCGACAGGCAAACCGGGAATTGAGGGCTCACGTACACGCTTGAGAAGGCTTGCTTGTTCTAGTCGTGCTTCCAACACTGGGATGACGGTCAGAGAATATTCGTTGAAACAATTGGACAAGACTGCCTACTCTTGAATATGTGTGTCCGGACGTCGAAACCAAAGAGTATAGATGAAACGTGATTATGTGGAAGTGAAGCGAGGTGCCGAATGACAATGATTCTGAAGACAAAATTGTCAGTCGTTAGCTCTTGTAATGCGCGAAATTTGAAGACAGGAGGACTTGCAGGTGAGGTGTGAAGCTAGAATGGCTCTGGGCAGAAGCTGGAGAGCGAGAGTGAGGTTCTAAAGTGCTGTAAATTCGCGTTCGAGGTTTAAGTGGGGAATCAGACGCGTTCACGAGTCGCGCGTCATTATGCGTGGTTGGCCTTAGGCTGATATGAACAATTGTGGTTAGACTCATCTTAGCCTAAGGCAGCAGCATCGTTGCCTCGTCAGTGGAGTATCAGGAAGAGTATCCATTAACTTTCTTGTATTCCGTCATTAATCTCAAATTATAATATTTACAGCTCAATTCACATATAGGAAGTTACTCAGCGGGTGCCAATCTCGAAGACGCAATTGTCAAAGTCAAAAGCCAAGGAGATAGAAGCGTTCAAAGAGCGTGAGACCAACCAAAGACCAGTGGTTAAGTATGCTGTACAATGGACACAGAAAAGCATCAACGTGGAGAAGGAACGTAAGAAGAAAGGAAAGCACAAAACACCAGTGACGCCAATCCGCTCTATTTGCAATGGGTATCAGCCTGCAGACACTGTTTGGTCAATGCTCGCTCACAGTCAGTGTAAAACATGAATGCTGAAGGATATTTATATACTCGCTTGCGGAGGGAGAATATCCATATGGGAGGTAAGTCGAGAAAGAGGGAAGGGAAAATAATGATAGGATGACAGGTGTGGGTTAGATACTCGTGACCCTCTTTGAAGCTGTCGTTCGAGGTCTTTGCTTGATGACCATTTCGAGCTCTTTCAGCATGCTGGTGTTCGCGTCCGCTCGTTCGCGTGCAGCAGCCTGTTTCGCCCGGTCTTCCTTGACACGGGCAATGCGCTCTTCCCTGGTCAGAGACACCCTTTTATTGCGGGACGGGAGAACTATGGATTCGAATATCTCCTCATCTTCGTCGACACTCTGGATAATGCTAGGGTCTGGCTTGATATCGCCATTCAGCGCCCGGAGCGCATCTGCTGGGCTTCCCTCTACCGCGGTGGCACCGCCAAGGCTGGGTGTCGGGGACAATGGCAGCTTCAACCCGCTGGGCGGGCGCGACATATGATCTACCGAGGATCGCTTGTCGATGCTACTCATCAGAGCAGCTTTTCCAGCCTCCCATTCGTGAAGTAGGCCTCTTATGTCCGTTCCGATTGATTCGTATTGGGCAAGAATAGTTGCTTCGAGTTCTTCCGTGTCGGTAGGCTCTGAGGCAGTGGACAGCTCTCTGATCAGATGCATTTTTGCGTGAAGGGCGCGAATGCCTTGAGTAAGTGTATTGAGCTTTCGATATTGAGTACGGAGATTCTCCCTGTTAGGAGAGGCTGTAGGCAGCGGCGAAGGAGGAATCACGTCACCTTGAGAACAGAGTCAGTCACGGATTGGGTAGTACTCCATATTGAGGTAAAAACTCACGGTCATCTTCACTGAGAATGCTGGCCATCTTGCGGGTATTCGCTCCCGTGACTTGAGTAAGATCCCGCATCTGCTCAATAGCCGTGCTCCATCTGACGATGTCGGATCCGCCACCGTCGGCACCCAGGGCTAGGAGACAGCAAAGAATGCTCTTTCTCACGTTGTATAGCCTTCCGAAAAGGGTGCGAAGCGCACGTAATGAGTATTGGTCTTCTGTCTCCCGTTCAGCCAAGGCGGTCTCGGCTTCGGTAAGCTCTTCTAGTGAGACATCGTAAATGTCGTGGTACTTGGCGAGATTGCCATTGTCTGTCAGTGGTTGCAATATGTGCTGCGCCTGTAAGTAACGCTGTAACATTGAGTAAAAGCACTCGGACACGGTCCGACGCAGTCTCAGACATCTTCGTGTCTGCGCTTGATCCTCAAGTCTACTTACGGGAGGCAAGGGCGTGCTTCTGGTATTGAGTTAGTATACTCCGCCTTCATAGCGTTTGATCATGCAAGATCGAGTGCAACTTACATGCGATAACCCCGTGAGACCAGCTCGACCTCCTGTATGAAAACGACTGATGCCGAAGCAGCGGAATCGAATGACTGCGCATTGCTTATGAATACCACAGCCGCATCAACAGCCTGATGCCGCAGGTACTTGAGCCACTGGCGTCTGGCAAAAGCATAGAACAGGACCCCAAGCACTGGGACAAGGACCAGAAGTACACCGACTTTCCGAGGGTTGAATCCGGACCCCGTCCGAGATCGACTCCAGTGTACCAGCCAGGCGATCGAGAAGGACGTCGATGCTGTGACAACGGCACCCTGCACGCCAAAGGTTGTGGAAAGCGAAGGAAGGTCGACGGGGTTCGAGTTGGATAGTACGTCTGCGGCTGACGTATACGAGGGTGCACTGTGTTCATTCAACAACTGCGATGCGACGATAACGTATCCAAACTGCTCTAGGAATCTTTCATTGTCGCTTCGTCCGACTCGCGAGTTCAGGGCGGTCTATTCAAAAGATAACTTATTAGCCAGAGCTCCGGCCTCAGCTGATAGAGTAACATGGTTGTAATCCATACTGCACAGGCATCGTAGAGTTTACCCAAAACTGCCCTCTGTCGCGAGGATTTCAGTTCCAGGGGTTTGGGTAGCTTGTTTCGGATGCGCTCTTGGAATTTTGAAGTGCCCCGCGGGGCAAAGTCTGAAGTTGGTGAGTCGAAGGGATCATCCTCGCTCTTTGTTTCCTGGACCGGCCAGTCTGGATCGTGTTCACCTTCCCCTGAATGGCCAACGATATCATCATTTACTAATTCGAACCTATGCATGACTCTCCGCGGAGACATACCTCTCAGATATTCCGCCAACGGCGAGTTCTCATAAACCAGGGCTTCCATGACCTGCAATCATTCCGGGTTGTACGTTGGTAGGACGGGGATGGTGGCGGGATGAAGCGGATAGTAAGACGGTAGTGAAAGAGCGGCGGATTTGGTGGGGATATCAACTGAACAAGGCTAAAGAAAAGTAGAGACTGGCGAGACAAGGTCGTCGGAACTTATTCATCGGTCATCTCCACAGCGATTTCACGGCGAGGTGTGCTTGAGGGGAGGACGTCAATGATAGCGGAAACCTTTGGCGGCAAGTGGAGGAGTAAGCAGGAAGCAAGGAAGCACGCGACTTCTAGGGTGACAACCAGAGAGCAACTAGCGCATCACATGGATTGTTTATAAGAACCAAGTGAAAAGTAAATATGTAGCAATGCTGGAAACGACTGGCCTAGTCGATATGCAAGGTACAGGAGAGTAAGAGAGCAAGAAGAGAGGGCCACGTTGAAGATCAAGCTGGGTTCATGTGTCTGGGCCTCTCCGGGGATGGAGAGCGCTTGTGCCTTTCGTCGAATCGGAGTTCTCAATACCACGAGGCCGTTTGGCTTTAACTTGCTAGTCCTCCATAGCATAGATGCTGACCCACTAGGGATAGTCAGGAACGAAAACTCGAATAGATGATGAGGCGAACTGATGTCTATTGGGTGAGATCTATTAACGTTGTTATAGAAAGGAGGACAATCCAATCCGATACTACGGAAGCCCGTATGATCATTACACTCATATGACAATGCTCAAGTGATGTGACCAGATCAGACCGAGGCTCCACCTTCTCTCTTACACTGTAACTCTCTTTCAAATGTCAACCTCGGACGAAGGACTACGGCGGACATCCTGCAGCATTACCCGCTGAGTCTTTGGGCCCGCGGTTTCACGATCATATTAGACCATGATCTCTTGAAACGAATGATTGGCTGCGACGCTCTAATGCACACTGACTGCTGCTATTTAAATCAGACTATCAGGGAAGATTGAGCTTCTGGCAGTGCTAACCTACATCTATCCGTTCTGACCAAATTGAGGAACTTCAGAGAGCCGAACACTCTCGATCATCGCGGTCTTTAGTTTCCAATCTCAACGCGTTGTCACCGTGGGTGTTGTCCTATTTCGGCGGCCAAGGTAGGTTCTTAGGGACAGTCAGTAGCAGTGGACTTCATCAGCTCACCGTCATTGGATAACACGACGGTCGTTGAAAAGCTTTACCAGATGGCTAGATGCAGATGCATTGACGCCAGGCCTCGTTGTGCCATGGTGCCTTAGGTACGGTGTGTTTACTCTGTATACATGGCTTTTTAATTTGGAAGCTCAAGTGAGCACGCAGTACGGGTTCCAAAGTGGGAAGCCCCTGCTTCCTATATGCTTAGAGATGTATGTGCTTCAAGAGGATCATGAAGATGTCGCACTATGTTCCTCAAATATCGAAGTTGGCCTCCCATGGCTCCCCATCCGCTCGGGGGGACGGAGGGTATTTTCAGCAGAGCCATCTTCCGTAATTCTCGAACCCGGGATATAAATTGGCAGGCTTTGAGATGCCATCATATCGAAAGTCAAGCAATTGGCGAGAGCTCCGCCAATGAAGCTCGCAATCTGCTAGGCGCCTCTCACAATTGCCTGCAAAAGCCAACTGCCTCGAGACGCCGGCCCTAAGCGAGCAGTAACCCAGTCATTCCAACCGTACTTGTCCACGAGAAATCCTGGTCCAACAGGCTTACAGCTTTCTGGACACGCATAGCGGCTAGCGATATCGCTGACAAGCTTTTATCACACCCCCTTAGGAAGTCTAGAGTCTCCAGCCTCAGCATAGAAACCAGAGTGCTCGAGATCGGTCTTTCTTGCGCAGTCAAGTTCTCTCATGTGCGATGATCGATTCATGGCCATGGGAGAACGGCTCAGAGTAGAGATAGTTCATCACGGCAAGCATTCACGCGTGGAAATTGATGAGATTCTATATGCTGAACTAAATGATTATCTCCAACCGGTGTGTAAACCGAATGGGAGTCAGTCTGGCTGCCTCAGAAGTCAGGTACGAATGTGTTACCTGGGCAACTGCTTCCCGTCAACAGTCCAGGCCTCGCGTTTCCATACATTATTTCGTTCCATGAAACTACCTTAGATATTGACCATTTATCTTTATCTCTATTTCTTATGACCAGCAATTTGTTATAGGAGTCTTAAATTATCGAGTGTCTCTTATCGTGTCTGTTAGATCCACTTGTTATTATCTTTCCCACCAAGTCGACGCCTCAAACCGCCTCGATTAAGTACGATCTCCGAGAAGTGTCAAGTGCACTAGGACTGATAAGCTTCTGAGACCAGACATTGGTTATCTTCTTTAAGACTATCTGATGGGATAATCTCAAAAACAACAACCACCATGTCTGGTCTTTTGCAGGAAGTTGGAACTCCTTGTCCGGTAAAGTCAAGGAATTCGAGAAACAGTGATACAATCCATACAATTGATAGCTCGTGGGAAGGAAGCTTGGAATGTGGCGAAGATACTGCCAGCCTCGATTTCACCACTGCGATCAAAAACAGTACCTTGATTGGAGTCAAGGCCAAGCGAAGGATGAAAACAGGAACATCGTTCGCAATCCACGATGAGAACGAAGAGAGACCTACGCTCGCAATGCCGAAACGAAAAAGAGAGAGCACAATCTCAGCTAGAGTTCCAGGCCGCAAATCCTCATTGCTTGCCCAACCTGCCCATAGATTCCGCCCGAAAGTCAGCTTCGCCTCGAGTTCACCATCCAAACCACAGCTCCAAAAAGCGGAAGTCAAGCACCAGAGACAGAACATAGATGCCGGTGCAGAGACAAACAGGTCATTACTAATGCGAATCAATGGCGGAGGAGATGAAGGCCAGCATAAAGATAAACTCAAACGCGATGTGCGCCGCAATACTGTCTTCATCCCCCCAGACGATACCACGGTCGCCAGCGTGTTTATGACAATGTTCAGTCCGCTCAAGTCCGACAACCTCAATCATTATGTTCAAGACGGCACAGAGATCAACAGCCTGGAGTCACAAATTGCGCGGAAAAGGCAAGCGAAGAGAACAATGGCCTCTAGTCGAAAGACTCCGCTACAGCCAAGTGTTGAAGTCCCTCAAGGAAGCGCCATAAACATCGATATCGCTGGCAAGAACACTGGAAAGGAGAATATTCCTCCAGGGGCAATGATCTTCAAACCCAATGACAAAGGACTCTGGAAATCGAATACGAAAGAAGAATTATACTCAAAATCGTCTAGAGCCCTCTCAGGCAAAGCCCGTCCTTTTGCAAACACTCTGACGAAACCACTGGCGAAAGTGGCCACCAGCGAAGGGCTAAGAAGATCCGTGCTCGGTGAGAAACGACATAATGCTAGGGCACCTGTAACCGGCGTCGGTAGTAAAATGGACGGTACCGTCAGAAGCAGCTCGAGACTTGAAGGCGCCGTTCTGTCTGCTTCCAGGAGAACACCCCTTTCGAATGCGCTCAAACAGTCCAAGACATACAAAACCAACGCATCGCTACTCAAGAAAGAGACGGCAATGACTGATTTTGCACTCATAACCGACGATATTGTCAACCCAGCGATGTATGAGGACCATTGGCTTGCGCATCAGGAAATAGTAATCACGCAGTTAATCAACCGGTTATTCGATCAAACGGACGGTCAGATGAGATATGATGACCCTGCAGCACGCAGACATGAGCTTCTTCAACTGTATCAAAGCGGACCTTTTGTCGAACTTCATAAGCGATTGCAAGCGTCGTTGACGTATGGCTCTCTCAGTATACCAAAAGATGCTCTAACACAAACAAGGCGTTTGAAACATGACTTGGGTATGAAGCGGAAGTTCTTGGATATTTGGTTGGAATCGTACGACCTTCGAGCACTGAGAGCAGCTGCCGAGACGGTTACCGGAAGAAGAGTTGAAAATGAGTTCCTCGATGGAGATTCCCATCATTTCTCGGTTGAAACGACTGCAGATAAGGAAAAATTCCTCAGACGAAAACTGGAACGATTCTTGGATGTCTTCTTGGTGCAAAATAGAGATATGGATCGTGATTCGCAGGATCTTAGCCACGCGGGCTCAGATATGATTTCCCAAGCATATCGCCGTACAGTCCTTCGGAGTATCATGATGGTTATCCTTTTGGACAAGGTGAGATTGTGTCCAGGAACAATCCTTTCAAGTTGCCTTTTTAGGTCCTCCTCATCTTTCAAGTCTTCCACAGCGGTTATGCAAGCACTGGGCCGTCTTCTGCTGCCAGCATCAGGTGACATTCTGAAATCACTCAAACATTTGGACTGTCACTTGTCATATGAACAGCACCAACTGCAAGAGTACGAGTATCAAATGAGTAATCTTGCGGTTGACCTCAGGGACGGTGTGAGATTAACTAGGATTGTGGAATTGCTCTTTTATCCATCAGCAGGGGCTGTAGGGGAATCGGCGCCGCCACTGGACAACCATCAATGGCTGCTATCGAGGCGTTTAAAATTCCCCTGCTCGAGCCGCACAGTGAAGAAGTACAATGTACAGATTGCTTTGGATGCTTTGAAGCTGGCGCCAGATGCTGCGCCGCTTGTTCGTGACGTGCACGCCGAAGACATTGTTAATGGCCATCGCGAGAAGACGATTGCCTTGCTATGGGGGTTGGTCAGTAGATGGGGTCTTTCGGAGCTCATCGACTGGGATGATGTGACGAAAGAGATTGACAGACTGAGGCAGAAAGCTACATCACAGCTCGGATACGAGCAGGCCAACGATGCAAATTTGGTTAAGGAGAAGGGTCCTAATGACAAAATGGAAGACGACGACGAAGCTATTCTATTGCTCAAGGAATGGGCAACCATCTTGGCGCATCTGAGTGGCCTCCGGTTGGAGAATCTCAGCACAAGCTTTGCGGATGGAAGGATCTACGAGGCTATAGTGAACGAGTACGAAGAATATATCCTGGGCAATGTCGCATCAAGTCATGGCCAAAAGCCAACTTCCTTGGCAGCCCGTCTACGAGCACTTG